TCTTGGCATTCCAAAATCGATAGCACATTTATTATCAAACCTATACAAAGAGAGAAGTGTATCGATAAGAGTAGGTCACAATATTATTGGACCCAAGATCACATCAAAAGGTATTCCACGGGGAGCTGTTTTAAGTCCACTTCTTTTTAATTTGTACAAATACGATTTGCACAATTTATGGTCTCCCAATATTGTTTGCTTACAATATGCTGATGATATTGTCATCTATTCACATAAGAAAACGTACAGTGAAAGCACTACTGAACTTAAACATATTATGTACAACTTGGATAATTGGACTTGGTTAAATGGATTCAATATTTCGTACCAAAAATGTGCCGTAGTATTTTTTTCAAGAAAACACCCTATTAAACATCACGCTGTAACCTTACATGGCAATGATATTCCAATTGTTTCGGAATTTAGATATCTTGGTGTCGTACTTGACAGAAAACTGCTTTGGACTCAACATATTAATTATACAATTGGTCGCTGCGAAACAGGTCTTAATTTTCTTAAAATGGTGTGTAAGAGATCGTGGGGTGCAGATCAAAACATTGCATTGAATTTTTATCGAGCCTATATAAGATCTATAATAGATTACTGTTGTGTGGTATATGGGTCAGCTAGCATAACCAATTTACGTAAACTTGATAGAATTCAATTTAAAGCTCTAAGGATTGTGTTAGGATTGATGAAAAGCACTCCAAATGAAGCCACCCTAGCTCTAGCATCTGAAAATCCACTCTCATTACGCAGAGAATATCTGGCAAGCAAATATTTCCTAAACCAACATTATCGTGGCACTTATAATGCAAAAATAATTAATGAATTAAATACAGCTGATTTAACATCTACATACTTCGTTAAAAAAAACTCTCCACCACTCGCAAGAGCAATTATAACTTGCAACGAACTGAAGTTAATAAATTCCCCTTGTAATCTTATCTGGGAATCGTTGGATATACCACATCTAACAAGTGTTCTAGCTACAAATATTATTATCCCAAAATACCAAAACGAATTTTGCTACACTACTCTTAAAGAAATCTTAAGTGGCTATTCAGATCATATTGTGATCTATACAGACGGGTCAAAATCACCAACATGTACAACCGTGCTTACTTTGTACCAAAAATGAAGATTAAAAAATCATTTATTTTAAATAATCAATCCAGCATTTTTTCTGCTGAAGCGTGTGCTATATACAAAGCCCTTGAATTGTGCTGTGAAAACCAGTGGAACAAAATTGTCATTTGCAGTGATTCACTGTCAGTATTGCACTCCTTACAAAACTTTAAATTCACAATCAATAGCAATATATTCATATTAGAAATTTTTCAACAGTTACTAAAACTATCAGATCCATATGGTACTAAATTTCTATGGGTCAAGGGACACTCAGATATTGTTGGCAATACTATTGCTGATTCTATAGCTAAAAATCCATTACAGCACCCACATATGGAGATAGAAGAATTTAACACATGTGACCTACTTGCCTATATCAAACAACATTAAATTTAAATGGGACAGACAATGGATTCAGTTTGGTGAAAGCAGGGGCACTAATTTATACAAATTACAACCCACAGTAGATGTAAAACAATTTTACAAAGATGTTACACTAAGCAGAAACACAGTGTCAACTGTCTTAAGATTAAAAGTAGATCATGGATGTTTTCCGAAACATCTACACAAAATAGGAGTTCTCCCAACAGACCGATGTGAGTGTGGAACTAGTATAGCTGATTTAAATCACATATTCTTCAACTGTCCACTACATCGTAATACAAGCACGTGGCTGATAAAAGAATTGATAAAAGAGGGATTAAGTACACCATTAAACGTAAATCTAATATTTAGTGAAGACAATATAAAAATCTTTAAAATAATTATGATATTTTTTGTAAAAATTAAATTAAAGGTATGAGTGTAAAATTGATCGTATGCTTGAACATTTACTTTGTATGTTTACCTTATATGTTGCCCACCTACCTAACCGTGGTTTATGTCTTGTTTGTTACAATAAAGCCGCTCTGATGAATCCCTGAGCGTGAAAAGTGTCCTCCTTGTACAATCCTGTATAAATGAATACTAATATTTATATATAACTACGTGGCTAAAGGCATCAAGCCAAAGCCAATTAAAAAAAAAATTGAGCATTCAATCTGAGATATTTCTCGTTAATTAATTATTAATCGCAATCCATATCTAAATCGTCCTCATTCTCTTAATCATCTCCTATATTAATTATCACAGGTTCAATATCTTCCTGCAAATTGTCCACCGCAGACATTTTTTCTTCTACTTTTTTGACGTGGTTCAGATAATTATGCCACTTCTCTTTAGATATGCGTTGGTAAGCTTCTTTTGTCAACTGTTCTACAGTTTTTTCTACAATCGGCGTTGTTTGAAGCCACATACCTTTTGCTTGACCCCACACGGCACTCTCAAAATCTTAACGTAATATTTTTTTGCAATTGTTTCAATTTTCTACTTGTCGGACTTGTCTCTAAATGCGGCCGCAGTATCCAGTAATTGACTTTTTAGGTAATCTTCCTCGAAGAAAATGTTATTTTCAATTAGCCAATCTTTGATTTGCCTTTTGTTCCACAATCAAATTTGCGCGAGTGGTTTGACAACGTTTTCTATGTCTTTCGGCAAGTTTGGAATTAAAGTCTTCTCAAACCATTCTTCATATAGATCCCAGTCCATTTCGTCGTAGTAATCAGCGCTTCCCTTCTTGGCCAAGAAAGTTAATTCGGCCCATGTTACAAAACCAGTTTCGCTTCCAGCATGACGAAGAACAACTCTTTGGATTGGAGCTTTCAGTCCAGTGGATTCTTGATCATTGTGTCCCTCCATTCCTTTTTGACTGAAGCACCGACGTTAATCCAAGACTGATCGGTATAAAGAAGGTTTACATTATCCTTCTTTCTCAATGTTTTCATTTGTCCGAGGTACTTATGTCTCCAGGATATGATATCTTTTCTTTCCATCATTATTGAATCTCGACCTCTTTTACCATTATTCAAAACTCATGTCATTTAGTAGCCTACGAAATGTGGTTTTTGAAAAAGCTGGTAGGTCCTAATCATTCTTCACTCTGTTCATTATGCTGTCGATGGTTGGTGGTATGTTTTCAAAAAAAAAAAAAAAATCATGGAGAATTTTCCTTATTCGAGATTTTACTCCCTCATCATAAGTATTCTCACGTGAATTGGACTGGAAACTATTTTTCATCCTTTTTTGTACCGGTTTTAGTTCGCATTGCTGGGCCTCTTCGCGGATGTCATAAATTTTGCGAACACTTACACCGCACAATTTCGAAACTTTTTTAACAGTAAGTCAAGCTGTCACCATTTTTTAAGTTCAGATGATAGTGTAATACATTTAAAACCGCACGTTTTACTTTGACACTAAGAGTCATACCCTGTTTGAATTTCACGACAGATGCTGGCAACGACTCCATAATGCAGGTACTTTCATCCGCTTGCGAAAATGAAACAGAACTGAGCTTTCATAGTTTTTGCCAAAAAGTTTTTAGTCTAATGGCCAGTATCAAAATCAACAAAGAGACATGTTTGCTTTGCGTGGACAATGGGGATTAAAACTGATTCGCTTCTCGTTATGAATTTATGATGATCTTTATTTTCCAAAGAATGTGTTTACAGTGGAAGCTATTGAAAATTAATAATAGATAAACTATCGACAATGAGTTTTTGATGTTTTACTTTTTTTATAGTATTGTTCTTCATGTTATTGTTTAATTTGACAACGTAACTCTCTTATTTATACATCAAGTTGGTTGAATCATGCTTTAGTTGAACAATAATGATAGTCTTTTATACAACCGTACGCAACCGTAAGAAATACATTGCCTATCTTACCTGCACTACATTCTAACTGTGGCTTCTACATAAAGAGAGTGCTATGTAAATAATAAATAATGAATCAGGTTTCGTTCGCAATATGTAATTGTGTTATCTGTTAACTCAACTTAAGGGGATGGAAAGTATAACCCGACAAGCGAGAGCTGGCGGGTTGCATGTAGAACAAATTGAAAACTGGAAGGGATTGCTCATTTCTATTGCAGTCGGCTAGGAGTTCACATTGTGTATAACCGTTTAAGTAGCTATACTATATACCTATAATCGCGATTAAGTACCTCTCCTATCTCTCTTAGAATAATTCCTTTTCGATTTTCGCACAGCTCACCCGCCAGCTCTCGCTTGTCGAATTATACGTGTTTACAGTATATTTATTACTGAGTCTCGGATTGAAAGAAGTCTACAAATAACTTATCACTGTTATTGGATCAGCGTCGTTGACAGGTCATTCATGGAGCACCGTTAGAAATTAAGATCTTTACGAATATTTTCATAGCACTGATCGAAATTAGAAATAATCTTCTTCTTCTTCTTTGGGTGCCGTCTTCAATAAAGGTTGGCGATAACCTCAGCAAAATCATTTCTGTCCCTGGCTTTTCTTCTTATTCAATATTAGAAATAATATTGGTGAAAATTCGTGGAACACTTGATTGGAAAAGAAGCAGGAATTACAAAAATTAAATGAAAGCGGTATTTCACGAACAGATTGGTGTAAAATCCATCTGCAGACCGAAAAGGATATTTGAAAATTTAGGTATACTTATATTGAAAAAAACTACTTAACGGATAAAATAACGGTTTTATGCAGCATTACGGCGGCATATTTAAAAGGAATTATTTTAGAATCATTTAAAATAAATATCTAACGGAATTTTTTATTATTGCAGAAATTTTGCAAAGTGGTCATAAAATAATATCGTGAGATTATTTTGAAGATGAATAATTTACTATACGCGATGACTAAAAAAAATAGCAAAATAAAACAAATAAATTAAAACTTTTGAATTTTGGAAGATTTTTGACACGTTACATCCTTTATTCATTAGCTATTTCTCTTATAAAAGTTATCATACTTTTTACCATTACATAATTCCAAACTTATTATAGAAGATGGAAAAGTTCTACATAAAATGAGAGCTCATGACAAACCCGTTACATCTCTTGCCTGGTGTCCAGTACCAATCAACATATTTCCGAAAAGTCCTCTGAATTATGTTGGACAGAAGAAGAATGAAGAAGCAGAACTCAACCAAGTAATCGACAAAGGAGATGAAACTGAAGAGTTAAACCCTATAGCAACTTCTCACCCATTACTTAAAGTATATGATTCTGGCGATGAAGATTTTCTTAAAGAATGTCAGATTCTCAAAAACAAAATTTTAGGTAAGTGCCAATAATTTTTGTGTTTGTTTTTTTTTTTTCTCTTTTATATTTAACATGACAATATATCATGCTTTTTAACTATAGACTTTTCAAGAATAATTCTTAATGAAAATTTAATACTATTACACAATGTAATTACTGGGAAGAAACTTTCAGCTAGTAATAGATATATTAATAAAACATCCACATTATACTGTGTAAAATCCTGTTATACTTCTTCCAGTCGCATTTTAACTACAGTAGAACTTCGATTAACCGTCGCTGTCATGACCAAGAATACACTGGTTCGTCGAATAGAGGTAACAATAACCTCGCACTCTAAATAACAAGTTTGTTCTTTACGTGCTATCTCCTCGACGGAGCATACGTGGAGCATCTTGATCTTAGATGCTGCTGATCTTCATAGTTCGATTGATGTGATGTTTATACTCTTAGTGCCACTTCATTGTAATAATGTAATATTAAATCTTTTGCAGGTTCTCACGAGAACATCACTGGTAAAGTCGAGTCTGGGGAAGCCGATGTTTCATCAGATCAGTTACATCGCATAATCGGTAGTAGTATTTTAGAAAAAAATGAAGATCCCCAACAAAAATTAGATAACGAAAGTACTAGTGAAGAACCAGAGAGCTTTGAACTAATTGATGATTCTGAGCTTGTTAAAGAACATGATTCAACACAATGCGACAGTACATTAACTGAATCTTCAAATGGGTCAACCACAACGGAGATAGAATTTCTAGAAAATAAAAAAGAATATGACAAAGGACTAGATACTGCATCTAAAAAGCCAGATGACCAGAGCAGTAATTTGAAAGAACGAGAGAGCTGTGAAATAAATAAAAAAACTGAGCTGCATACAGTGCATGATCCAACTGAATCTTCAAATGAGTCAACTACAACGGAGCTAGAATCTCAAGAAAATAGAAAAGAATATGACAAAGAACTAGATACTGTATCTAATAAATCAGATGACGTGAGCAGTAATTTGAAGGAACAGGAGAGCTGTGAAATAAATAAAAAAATTGAGCTGCATACAGTGCATGACCTAACTGAATCTTCATGTGGGTCAACCACAGCTGAGCTAGAATCTCAAGAAAATAAAAAAGAACATGACGAAGAACTAGGTACTATATCTATTAAACCAGATGACCAGAGCAAGAATTTGGAAGAACCGAAGAGCTGTGACATAAATAAAAAAACTGAGCTTGATACAGTGCATGACACTAAAAAGAGCAAAGGTACATTAAAAGCTGCTCCAATTGAACCTTCAAATGAGTCTACCATAAACGAGCTAGAATTTCAAGAAAATAAAAGTGAATCGAAAACAGAATTACATACGGCATCCAATAAACATAATGATTTAACTGAAGACAGTGTAGAATTAAAAGAGTCCAAACTTGATATTGCAAATGACGATAGTATTGTTCAGAATACCGAAGATCTAGAAACTAAATTGAATGATAACGTAGATAATCCTGAGACTGGCGCTGGCGCTGAAAGGAACATAGTTACAGTTACTTCCGTCGAAGAGGCGCCTCAGAAAGAATTTTTATTGGCGTCTTCGGCAAAAGAAAGGTAAGTAAAGTTATTTTTAATAGGAAACATAAAGCTTAAAACTATATTTTCATCCTACAAATCTATAGAATGAAATATCATTAATGATCTCTATATAACCATGTGTCAATGTAGAGATAGGATATTAAATTTAAATGGTAAATTGCGGCAACGCTGTATCCATATCCCCACTTCAATGATTCAACTGTAACTTGCGAAGCAATATAGTTATAATAAAGAAATTCGGTCAGCACACTGCACAACATATTTCTTGTCTGTGCCGATATATGGGTATAGTACATACCTTCCTAGTAAGGTAAGTGCTGTAGTAAGAATTGAGAGTTTCTAAATTACATTCTTTTTACAAATTCCCAACTGTAAACAAACGTACGTGAAAGCCAAACAGGATCGTACCGAGGTGTATCATATGATTTTTAAAATATTAACTTTTGAAACTATTAGTGTACGAATTTCTTAAAATTTATTCGTTGTGAGCAAAATTTAATGTTTCATTGAAGAAAAATTTACTAAAATAAAATATCCATTAACTGAGAGATACATAACAAAGTGAACATTTTGAATAAAGTAGCATTGTAAAGGAGAGATTTAAGGAAATTTAATACCGATTATATGAAACGCACTATAGAGGAAAATAACAGCCTAAAAGTTCTACGTAGAAAGCTAACGAATGGGAAATGCGAAATTCATAAATTAAGAAACAAGCAAAATGAAATAATATCACGTAGAGACGAGTTAATACAGGTCGTCGAAGAGTTTTACGAGGACTTATATAGAAGTAAACGAGAAGATAAAACAGGAATACAAACAGCCATTTCAAAGAAGATCAAGAATCAAGGTTCCGAACTAATGCCAGAGATAAAGCTAGATGAGATTCGACAAGCATTAAGAAAAATGAAAAATAACAAAGCCCCAGGAGAGGATGGAATCGTAATAGAAGCTATCGTAAATGGAGGAGATATGCTATTAAATAAATTAAGGAAACTATTCAATCTATGTTTGCAGCAACGAGAGGTGCCCAAAGAGTGGAACAATGATACAACCATCCTTTTGCATAAAAAAGGAGATAGAACGGACCTAGAAAATTATAGACCTATTAGCCTGTTGAACCACATATACAAGCTCTTCACTAGGGTAGTGACATCAAGATTGGAGAAAAAATTAGATTTCTACCAACCGAGAGAGCAAGCAGGATTCCGCTCAAATTATGGTACCAACGATCACCTCCACACAGTAAAGACACTCATTGAAAAATCTATAGAATATAACAAACCTCTTGTTCTCACTTTCATAGATTTTCATAAAGCGTTCGACACGATCGAATTAGACAGCCTTATAGAAGCAATGAATGACAGCAGGATTGGCCATAGGTATAGTGAGCTTATTTATAATATTTACAAAAATGCCACTATGACTGTTAAAATAGACAATAAAACTCGACCAATAAAAATAAATCGTGGAATAAGGCAAGGAGATACATTGTCGCCGAAATTATTCATAACGGCATTAGAATATGCCTTTAAGATGATCAATTGGGACCACAGAGGAGTAACGATGGACGGCGAAAAGCTTAACCATCTCCGTTTCGCAGATGACATTGTCCTTATCACAGATAATTTAGGAGAAGCTACAGATATGTTAAACGAATTGGATTTTGCATGTTCGAATGTGGGCCTGAGAATGAACTTGACCAAAACTAAGTTTATGACAAATTTGGTCCCCAATAACCATTTGACTATTCAAGACAAAGTGGTAGAACTGGTGGAGAAATATACGTATTTGGGTCATGAAATATGAATCAGCAGGGATAACCAAACATGTGAGATCCAAAGACGAATTACTTTAACATGGGCAGCCTTTGGAAAACTGCGAGACACACTTAGGGCCAACATACCAATCAGCCTCAAAAGAAAAGTGTTTGACCAATGCGTATTACCGGTCATGACCTATGGGGCGGAAACTATGACTTTAACCAAGACCACGGCTTCGAAACTGAGAGTGGCACAGAGACGAATGGAACGGTCTATGCTGGGAGTGACGTTGAGGGACCGAATAAGAAACGAAGATCTGCGAAGAAGGACGAGTATTACTGATGTTGTGGAACGCATAGCGGAACTAAAATGGAACTGGGCAGGCCATGTAGCGAGAATGCACGATTCACGATGGACGAGCAAAATTACAAATTGGAGGCCAAGAGCAGACAAACGCAGTAGAGGAAGACCACCTACACGTTGGGCCGACGACATCAGGCGTATCACTAAAAATTGGCAACAAAGAGCACAAAATCGTGAGGAATGGAGGAGTTTAAGGGAGGCCTATGTCCAGCAGTGGACGTGATAGAGGCTGGATGATGATGATGATGAGCATTGTCATAAGTCTGAGGAGCTACATGTGCTGCTGTCTTCGTCTGGATTTATCATTATGGGTTAGATATGGTTCTCTATTATATTGTCCAACTTCCACATTTTGGACTCGACTTTTTGTTGAACGTATTGCACACTTCTCTGCCACGTTGTTGGACTAATATTATTTATTGCATCATAAAAAATATTTTTCATATCTGCAAATTTAAAAGTAGTGTTTTTGGTTGTTACATAATTTTTTACTTCTGCCCAGATGAGCTCAATCGGATTGAGCTCACAATGGTATGGGGACAGCCTTAACACTACTTTGTTTTGGCTTTTTGCCATCTCATCATTGATATATTTATTATATTGTCTCTTATGTTCCTTAACGATAGCCAGCAGTTGCAATTTTAACATGGAGTCCTCAAACCCCATATATTTTTTATTTCAGCCACACTTGGATGTCAGCTTTTCCAGAAGCAGTAGTTGGACTTTTTTTCAATTTTATGGAATGATAAGACTCGTTGTCCAATACAATGATGGAGTTGTCTTCTAATCGGGGCAGTATATTTTTGAACCAATTTTCCAAGCACCCACAGCCCTTCTGAAACAAACCCATCTTCACTGCCAATGTGACAGATTATTAGTCTTTTTTCTTTTTCTGAAAATTTTATTATTTTAAAATTTACTTGAAGCACATAAACATTTACCTGCAGGATTTTTTAACCCCGTAGAAAGTCCAAAGACGTTGCCGAATTTTCGACCCATACTTTAGATTTGGTGTGACCAGCGCTTAGTCTTGTCTAAGTAGTAAATTTTGGGTTTATCATTTCTGTAGAACTTAATTTTTATCAGAAATTCTCGTCTTCACAAGACAATTTCATCCCTGTCCATCAAAATGTTGTTTCGCTGACAACGTTGAAACTTAAAATTTATTTCTTTCAATAATTTAAAAAGCTTAGTTCTTTTGAATTTAGGCAAAACCGGATCTTCATTAACAACCCTCAGAACTTTGTCTATTGTGGGTATTTCATTTTGAAAAAAGAATTGATGGATTATTCGTCTTATTGCTTCTCTGTCAAATTCATCCAGCGAGTTAATAATACTTTAACGATTATCAACTGATTTTGGTGTCGACAATATTCCCGTAATTTCATATTCATGAACCTCATTGCATACACTACGGCTACACACGCCTACAATAGATAAAAAGTAACAATATTTGTTAAATAAAGTGAAAATGCGCACTCTAAAATAAATAATAGAGAAACAATATCATTACCTGTTTTATCTGCTACTCTAATAGAAATCCCTGGGTAAAAATAATATGTATTGTAATAAAACCAGCATCATCGAAAATATCGGTAAAGTTATGAAACTGCAAATCATGAATTTGTTGCTTGTGTGAGTCCATTTCAAATAGGTAAAGAAATAATAAATCAGACTTACTCACAATCAATTTAATTTAACTATCCGACGACCGGTTTCGCTTTCTACAATATGCAAAGCATCTTCAGGTCTCGGTACAAAGTTAAACAAATGCTGAAATGATAAAAACCCATATTAGGGTGTTGTCTAATAAAGATAAACAAATTAGATGTTATAAATTACAATAATTATGCCAATATTACCTGTCTGTGGTTTTTATTTAAATGATTGAGTTGAAAAAGGTATAAATATTTTTAAAAAAGTTAAAAGGACAAGGTAAGGCCCACAAGTTGTCATAAAATCTCTTCTATTGGAATAAATTAATGAATGAGCAAATAAATAAATAAATGAAAACATGTTCTACCATCCATCTATTAATAGAGTACCGGCATGTAAGTAATTTTATTTTATTTCATTTATTTATTTGCTCATTCATTAATTTATTCCAATAGAAGAGATTTTATGACAACTTGTGGGCCTTACCTTGTCCTTTTAACTTTTTTAAAAATATTTATACCTTTTTCAACTCAATCATTTAAATAAAAACCACAGACAGGTAATATTGGCATAATTATTGTAATTTATAACATCTAATTTGTTTATCTTTATTAGACAACACCCTAATATGGGTTTTTATCATTTCAGCATTTGTTTAACTTTGTACCGAGACCTGAAGATGCTTTGCATATTGTAGAAAGCGAAACCGGTCGTCGGATAGTTAAATTAAATTGATTGTGAGTAAGTCTGATTTATTATTTCTTTACCTATTATGAAACTGCATTCTGTACACTTTTTCAAGTCCAGAAATATTCCATTCACTCACGATAAAACCTCCCCAAAGAACAGTTTGGATTGATATGACATTTGGCATACACATAGCTAACATGTTAAATAAAAAAGTTATATTGTGCCGATAATTAATTTTTCCCTAGGGGTGAGTTTTACCCATTCTCGGGGGTGAAAAAACATATTTTCAAAATAAATCAGGAATTGGATAAACTGACTAATTTTAAGCAACCTTTGTTCTATGGAGTTTTTTCACTGAGTCGATACTTATTTGCGAGTGGTATGTTTATTTTTCAACAACAAAAAAACAAGGTTTTTAGACGGTTTTTGCAAATAACTCAAAAAGTAAGTATTTTATCGAAAAAATATTCTTAGCAAAAATATAGCTTATACAATAACAAAAAAATGGTGTACGTATAAAGCCAAAAGCACATTTGTAGCTAA